CCCTAATTTAGCAGTGTAAGACTAGAGGGAAGGCAGCTAGTCATTACCACCCACCGCCATCTCTTTGGGCTACTTTTTTACCAACGAATAGTAGGATTGGCCGTAACTTTATAACGCCCCTATGGCTGAAAGGGCGTCAGGTTATTGAAGAAGACGATTATTTTAGACATTGAGAACTTTATATTCAGAGGAAGTTAACTTGGAAATAACATGTTAGTAATAATGCTTGGTTAAAATCGTATTTAATTTTTATTCTTTTTGGTGGCAAGATTCATATGAATCAACTTCAAAAATTAAATTACATGTAAATCCATGTTATCAGAGCTATGCTGACGAAAAATTTAAGTGTTGTAAATTGTTTTAAATAATCTTGAAAATAATCAAATTATGTCTATATAAAATCATTAACACCATATTTAATTAAATACTGGTAATTGCAAAATGTAAAAAACAAGATTTAATACACGATTATCAAGAAATTTATTTTGTTAAAATAAAATGAAATAAAACTAACCCAGAGGCACTATATATATATTTAGTTAACAAAAGTTTAATTTATTGCCCTAATGAATTTATAACAAGAGTAGACTAGTAATGTTTTTAAACAAAAATTTGTCTTTTAAATTATAGTAATATTCAGGAGTTATTTAGAAATTAAAATAGTTATTAATAACAATAACATTTCTTCCCATTAAACTTGTTATTGTTTTCATGAAATAAAAGTGGATATTTATGTAAAAGTTTGTTCCTGTAGAATCAAATGAAAATTTAAAATAAATATTTAAAATCTATAAGTCTAACATAATTGTTGTTTCATATTTTTGATATTAATTATGCATTATATAACTAATTATAGCAATAGGAGTATGTGCACTTGTAAATAACTGTATTTGTATTAGTAAACTTATGTATATATATAAATATTTATATATACATTTATGAAATGTATTTTGAATGAGAGATTAAATCTGAATATTTTATTATTTCTAAACCTGAATGCATATATCTTAGTATATTCGGTCACCTCTATGTAAAGGCGTGGGTGCGCTATAAGAGTAACGGTCAAATCTCACTATTCGGTCAGCCATGAGTAGCCCAAGAGTTAGCGATAGGTGATGTTGACAAACTGCCTTTTCTTTCTCTCGTTTATCACCAGTTCAAAAATTAGGGACGACAATGCGCAGATAGACGTTTTGTTTGTTTTTTCTCTCTTTTTTTGTAGCTTTGTGCGAAAACTCTGAAACAGACAAATCACAGTTTTTGTTCAAGATTACCGACAGCAGTTTTTCTTTATAAAAAAGAATATTATATTGTGCATCTTGCTGTGCGTGAATAAAAGTCTGACGAGTGTGTTGTATATGATGTGACTGGCTTTATGCCAGACGGCGAATATTATGTGCTTTACTAAATTTCTGAAATCCAACGTGCATGCATGTCACGTATTTAATACGATTATATTCGAGTTTATGGTTGTGTCATTCAACTTTTTAACTGAAGTCAGAATCTTTTCCTTATAATATGTATGTTATAAAATATCAAAATATTCTAGACAATGATTTTCAACATCTCAAATATTATTTATCACAAATCTGGGCCTAACAGGTATAATTATCTGCTTCGTAATTAGTTGGCATAAAAAAAAATGTATTTTATATATTTTCTTTCCAGGAAAGAAAATTGTACGTTTGTCGGTTTTCTTCTGCGTCTGCTAATCTGTATTTGATGACAGGGTGTTTCAAGGGAGGAATAAATCTTTACAACATCTGTCTACTTACAGACAAAAAAAAAGAAATGAAAATAAACAGACAAATAAGACTAGGCCTTTGAACTGCACGATTATGTAAATATCGATTAAAGTGTACATAAAAACCAAGGCATTCGCTGGTTACAAACTTCGTAAAGAATACTAGAACTGTCGTGTACGTCTGAAAGACAACAGTCAAAGGACATTTATCAGCAAATCTAAAGTTCACAAGAGGTGACTTGTAGTTTGACCACACCTCTAGGAGTTCATGGGCTCTTTTATGTGCGTCATTGCATGGATTCTAGGAAATTAAAACAATAATCCTAATTCGCTTGATGAGGCTTGCAATCACACAATGGTCCTAAACTTATTACTCATTTGGTTGTTCATTTCCCCAGTAAAATAATCTAGTTTTATTTGTTTATAATATGTTTAGCATTCCTTTAAAAGTATCAACAAACTACATATAATTTACAAAGTAATTTTATATTTTTGTTTGTTTTTAATTATGCACAAAGCTACACAAGGGCTATCTGTGCTCTGCCCACCAGCGTTGTAAGTCCGCAAACATACCGCTGTGCCACTAGGGGGCTTATTTTATTATTATTATTTTATTTTTTTTATCTGATAGTTTATGACAAAGTACGTTTTGTTAAAAATAACAGAGTCAAACATCAACTTAGTATTAATTTAACTGTTTTTGGATACAACCTTATTGTAAACTTTGTACTATGAATTGGCTCATTTCATTGAAAGCTTCACGCCCATCAGTTGGATTAATTTGTGCTGTATTTAAAACAAAAAGGGCATAGTGTATTTTCAAATTAAATGCATCGACAAATATCAAGAATCCAATGAGATACAGCGAGTGTAGAGTGAAGTTCACATGGTATCAAGAATGATATAGTGAAACGTAACATTTTCAATGTCTTGGTGGCTAGAGTTGACTAATTGGCCGTAATGTATCATTTTGACGAAATCGTAAGGTCGATAAATAGTATTCGTTATAAGTAATAACTTTAACAAATATTACAAAACATTACAAAAGGACGGAAACACAAAAAATATAAAATCACTTGTCATGGTTTGAGTGTTTTTTAAGCTGACGGAACGTGTTTACTATGTTATATTTGTCATTGGACAATAGTATTATGCTTACTGTATCTTTAAACTATATTCTTTATTCTGTCCCTTTTTCTTCTTTTTTTTTTGCGAGTAGAAAAGTATATAATAGTATTTCAACCACACTATGTCCGTTAAAT